CACACACACACACACACACACACACAGAGTTGTCAGGGAAACTGCTGAAATTGAGCCCATAGACTGAAACATGACACGAAACCTGATCTACACTCGGCTGTCAGAAATAATGTTCCATGGTTTTGCAACGGCTGTGCACAAAAAGGCTTCTTCATGCAACAAAACAGCCTTGAACCAGAGTGAGTTCGACACATAATCCATAATCCTACTATTGACAATGTTTCATTCAGTTGCGCTTCACTGTACGCAGTTGTTTTCCTCATATTCTGTGGCGGTGCACTGAGGAAACTCTTGACTTTTTGAGTGTGGTGACAGCGCTGTTGGGAGCAGGCCAACAAATCACCACAGCAATGAGAGAGCCCAAATCAGAGAGAGGGGAACGCCAGCAGCAACATGAAGCTTGAATAGAAAAGAACAATCACAGCCAGACACAGGACAGAGAGCCAGACTGAGGCCTGCTAAACCCATCAACAGCCTCAGAGCTCCATGAAGCTGCTGATGCACATAAAGGCAAAAACCACAAAACAACACTTTGACAAGCATAAAATCTACTCCAGAAAGACAAGAAAATGTCAATTTCTTGACACAAAATAAGAAATAAACAATAAGTCTACACAGGGATCTTGTATTTGAGTAATTTGTGGAGTGATAATATTAGTAACAACACAATAATGCAGTTAGCTGGTATTCTGAAGATGTGGTGGTATATTCCCAGCTTTGTCGTCAACAAAAAAATTATGTAAACAGTAGTGTTCAAATATTTGTTCAGGTAGAGTTGCTATGAGTCAAACACCAGTCCCCCAGAGCCAGATGTGTTGAACTGGATTGTTAAAACAACGTCATGCTTATAGTACAGTTGATGTTGTTTCTAGCTTGCTAAACACAATGAAGGACACATGCACATTAATCCACACATTCATTAGACCTTATTTACCTAAATCACAAGACACAGCGTGACACAAACTTCCTCCAAGATGGTTGAAGAGACCGGCTCATGCATACACCGCTTATAATATATACATCACATCAATGACATGCATTACACTTCCCTGTATTGACACATGATACATTGATCCAACCTCTTAACAACCCTGGAATATTTGGATTGGTAGTATTCAAAAGTAAAATGGCAGCACAGTGAAAAATACAGTGTTGTGTTTGCTGTATGAGTGTGAGGTCACTCTAACACAGACTTCAATGAGAAGAGTCATTGCGTTCCAGGGTTGCAGAGCTAAAATAACCACTTCATCAATTTCATGTTATCACTAAATTACGTTAAGATGATCGAGAAGGACATAGTCTCATTACAATGACCTACTTAGCCATTACAACATAATATGGTAATGGAGTCTGGCTGAATATGTGTGACTGAGAACAGTGACTATCACCACGACAGCTGCAAGATTCTATACATTTACTAACTCAATAACAACAAATGTTTGTAATTTCAGACTGGGTCTGTTTGTGGAAGAATAAACTATATTATATTCTACTAATTGCTTGTTTTTATACTTCTTTTTTAGACAGTACTTGTCTATGCTACTTCTGCACAACTGGGACATTCCATTGTACGCAGTGCAATGACAATAAAGGCATTGAATTGAAAATACAGTCCATAGTTTTTCCATGGGGAAGGGAAAGCAGATTTGAACCTGTAAAATTGACTGCGTATAAGCCATCAGAAATACAGCATCTGTGCATTTAACCTACACAAGGAAGGGACAAGAAAGAAAGGGAAGAAACTTCTTGTCATTTATCTGAAGTCTTCAAAGCCAGGAGCCCCCATTGAATTAAACCCACAAAATCCCAAAAAGGCTTCCTTCCCAGAGGAGGGGCCATGTGGGCTCAGAGAGGAAATGTGAGTGTGACTAAGAAGCTCCTGTACTTCAAAAGAGTGTGAATTAGAGGAGGCAGGGAATCACAGTGAAGTATCAAAGATATGAGGGGGAGGGGAGGGAGACTATTTGGCAGCCTTTGACAAACTTCACCAGTGTCTCCCGCTCTAAACATCTCCTGTCTTTCATCTGCAGTTTCATCACAACACATGCACGGAAGCTTACGCACATTGTTTCATCTTTTCATTGAACGGTGATTAGGTTTAATTCAACTTATCTTGTCAGATAAGTGTGAGAACGGTGGATGAAAGAGATGGGAGATAAAGAAACAAGGCCACAACTGTGATGCATCCTATATCCCCAGGACACGTGGTGATCCTTGTTCGTTCACACATGCAGAGATAAAAGATGCAGGAAAAGGGAAAACCTTGGTCATTTTTAACTGGAGCCGCATTAACATCCAGGCACCATTATTTAAGAGAACGAGTGTGAGGAAAGTTGAGTAAGTGTTCTCTGTATGTCCTCAGAGGCAACAAAGAGATGCAGCTCCTGAACAAGCGTTTGGTCTTTCATGAGTTTGCAAAAATATGCTGCACCTACAAATACCAAGATCAGCACAGTTTGTACTGCAGATACAAGACAACAGTGTCAAAGAGGCTCCCCTTTACAGAACACACAAACAAGAGAGAAACAACAGCTGGAGCTTGTCCGAGTCACAACAACAGAAAAAAAAGCAACAACAGCCTCTGTCGCAAAAACGCTCTGGTATTTCATTGTCCTTCCAAGGTAACATCTTTGCCGGCGTGTTGTACTGTTCTTCGGTTTCTCGTCCCTCTTGTGTTAGAAATGTATCTACTCTCTTTTCCAGACATTCAACTAACTCTGACAATTGCATTCTCACATACAGCAATTTTGGAGAAATGTATTTCCACATGGGTTTCAGATTTCTGTAGATGTGTTTTATGATGTCCTGCTTTAAGCTGGTTTCTCCTCATAACTCATGGAGACATTTACAGTTTATACTTAATAATTTGAATACGACAGGCGCAGAGAAGATGATACTGTAATTATAGGACTCAAGAAAAGGCTTTAGCTGTTGTCACATAACACTTCTTCCACTTGAGTTGGCACCACGACACTATTTAAACCAACTATCACGACTTGATGCTGCAATTGACAGAGAGGAACATCAAACGGCCAACTTCAGGCCACTGTAAAACCCAAACAGAAAGGAATGAGTGGGAAAATCCAGACTGATAACAAGTCTAGTTGGGGCTTGCAAGTAGAGTGAAATACTGAATGTTTTTGCAGGGGAAAGAGGCAAGTCAGCAGAAAACTATACATAGTGTCATAGTATACTGGAGCCTCCCTCCTGCATGTTTGAACAAACTCCAGAGGTCAACACATGCCGGCTTGTGAAGATCTGCAGTGGTTCCCTGAAGTTATGTGCACTTTAACAAAAAATAGATGATTTACACAATTCACAGATGTTAGTGGACGCCAGAGACTGACACAGAGAAAGGTTCTGGACGGACATTCCTAACAAATGTCACATGTTTTGATGTGAGACGGTAGCTCCCAGCATGGACTACAAACAGTGCACAAATATGCAAAGGAAAAGGAAAAGCTTTGTCAAGTGATGAAGTCGAAATACATTTCATTTATAGGGTTGATAACAGAAGCAGGTAAGATAGCAAATTAAATATCACTCTCTTACTTACATATGCCATTACTTTAGAGTGATGTCTTTTCTCACCTAAAAGGGAGTGACATTTGTACG